GCGTTTGCCGCGTAAATCGCAACAACAGTAGTGTTGGGTTGATGTAACAGTTTTCACCGTAAGTAGTGACGTTTTGGCACGATAAAAATTTACAATACACGTTGTGTACACACATTTTATATCACTATGAAAATGAGACGGGATGTATTATTTTATTTGAGTTTAGAGAAAATATGCGCGCGACGTAGTTATATGTCTAAAAATTGATGTGTATCGTGTACATATTATTATTATTTTTTTTATACGTCGATAGCCTGCTGGTCGTCGTAAAAACGATTCGACACACGAATGATCAGAGCGCTCCCCCTTTTGACCCTCGTCGACAGACACTAAAAATATAATATTATTTTCATAATGCGATCCGGAAGGTTCGGCTAAAATTATTATAATATATACATAATATAATATATTATCGTACTTGTACCGCAGCCAATAATAATTAAATTTGTATCACTATTATAAGTACACGTGATCGATTTGATTAACATTATTTGCCGCATTAATAGTATTACTGTCACGATCATCAGCTGCGGTCCGGTATTTAACATCGGAGGCGCGCACACGATATGATCGTAAGGTTATTTGTTGCGCGTTCGCCACCGCCGGAATAAGATGAAAAAAAAAAAATGATTAAAAACTAGTTGTTACGGTAACGCAAGTATATTTTTAACACGATTTATTTAGGTCGTAACGACCACGGTGATGACGGGGTCCGCGTTATTTTAGTGCGTGCCCAACGATATAAAAACATGATATATATTATTATGATTATTATAAGAGTAATACCCTCTACGTAAACGGTACTAAAAGTGAGTTTCCTATGTGGTATAGGTACTCAGCGTATGTACAATATCGCGTGCTGTTTAATTTTTGCGTATTATATTATGTAGGTATTGTTTTTAACTGAAAAAAAAAATCATTAAAAATATGTGAATTTTTACACTCGTAAAAAATCGTTATAATAATATAATATTGATATCATGACGGGTGCAGGCGGGCGGTCGACCGCGAAACAGCGTAAACAAAAAACGCCGTAAATTCGTGTTATTACTTATTACCATATTATATCAGATCGGGTTGTGTTATTGTTTGCAGGCGTTAAGTTTTTTCTCACATTAATCACGGGCACCTAAAATAATATCGCGCAATGTCGTACAATTACAATGATGCCATAGCTACCGAATTTTGAAAATTTAAAAAAAAAAACGTCTCGTGACCATGTCTATACGAATAACAACATCGCCGTTGAACACGTCATAATGTTTATCATTCAAAATAAACAATCGATCGTTATTACGCGTATAGTCGCTACAGCAATTTTATGGCCGACGATGCGGTTTTCGCGCTGACTTGCGATCCGCGGATCTGCCAGTAGTTTCTGATATGATTCGTCGTTGTTGTCCTCTGCATTTGGTAGCTGCAGAGAGCTTCGATGTTTCCCACGATTTGTTTGTTTAAAAAACCGAGTCCGCACGTGGGACGGACCAAAGATAAATGCGGGGGCGGCAAAACGAACCGGTTAGCACAAATCGGGCGATCGACACGATTATTATTATATGTATTGCGGGAATACAAACGGCCAATACTGTTTTCGCGCCCATAGGCGACGGACACGAGTGACGTTTATATCGTATTATTTTAACGCATGTGCGCCGCGGACAAGGTTGGGTTTCCGGTGGTAGCTTAAATTGTATGATGTTTACGGGCCAGGAACCGCATCGTTCAAATCGTCATCCCGTGTAAGAATAACCAAAAAATAAATAACAAATAATATAAAATAATAAAAGAATCTACACGACCCAAAAATTGAAACACGCGGAGGTGGGTCGGGGCCGGACTGGAATGCTTATGAGGCTTTATACACGTTTATTATATTGCCGCGTTTATGGTCGGATTTCCAAACAATTTTCGAAAATCGAAATAAATATTCTTGGAATGAATTCTAGCAAGCAGATGAATTCCCGTGCAAACAATTATTTGTACATGAGAAATAGTCTCGTGGGAACAATATTTATACAGTGGACAACGCAATCGGATTAAAAAAATCGATATCGTTATTAAAACATCGTAGATAGGTGTAATTGATTGTGTTTATCGGATGAAGTGTATAAAAATATGCTGCGAGGATGTGATGTAAATTCCGTCCACAATTGATAAGTAAATGTGTAAATTCCGTACGTTCGTCCGTCCGTCCTTTATTATATATTCTGAGTTATAAATTCTATCTGTGGTAAATGTAACATGTTCTGCAGAAATATAAATACATATTATAATACGTATGTAAAATCCACCTCCGGATAAAAGACCTTTTGAAAATAACTAGATGTTGAAATTCCTGTAACGGATATAACAACGTGATAAATCGTAAGTTCGTATATTATAATATGTATAATGTATGAGAATCATGTATTAACATAGGTAATATGTGAACTTATGTAAATACTATTATATCGGTTGCTATATAATATGTTGGTATTAAGTATTAAACACGAGCCAATAATTATTCGAGTGATTGGCACTCGTTTTTTTTGGTATATACCTAACTATACACTAGTTGAAAACAATATTTTTTTTTTTTACTTGTTAAAAACATAATGAAAACCCACGATATACCAATTATAGGCTACAGACAGTAACTTTTAGGAAAAAAAATTAAGAGCACAATCAACACATTGTATAAAATATAAACATTGAATAGGAGAAATAAATAGTACGTATATTTTGGAAAATATTTTTAATGGAATTTTCATTTCACCCCATGCACGCTGCAGGCATAGTTTAAATATAGGTTTAAATATTAGTCTGTATGTACTTATATATTTGGTTTGTAAATTGTAGGATATTGTAGCCATTAGCCAAACCATTTCTTATTTGGGGGACCCATCAGACACGGGTGGTCTTCCAGCAACATTAAACTACATGACGTGTGTCTGACTACCGGTGTATAAACCTTATCCACACAACGCGGTTTTTCAATTAATCACGATCACAGCACTGGCGAAGGCGGCTAAATAATTAATTTATCAATTTTGTGCGCAGCAATGTATATATTCATCACTACAGCAGTCTTTATAGACATATAGACATATATAGTACGTATGTATAAAATGTATAAGGCGCATGTAGAACTATGGGAGGTATACTAATTATGTCTCGTTTACAAAAAAAAATTGCTGTTATTTCTCTAATGTCGTTTAACCACATTAATTATGTATGCGTTGTTGTTTGCGTTGTTATTTGTGTTATAATTATACTTAAGTTTACTTTGCCATCGTTACTTCAGACCAATCGTAAAGATACTGATAATGTATGATGTGCATGTACTGTTGTAGCAAAATGCTGAATAGACGTAATAAAACTTATAAAATTCAAGATTTAATTATAAATGTTCATGAATATTTAAACCGTAAACATTTTATCCTTCATAAAACATTACAATAATGTACCAAATACTATAATACTAAAGTATTATTAAAATTATATTTGTATTTCTAGTTTTTCGTTGTAATTACTAAGTAAATAATAACATGTTTTTTTTTTTTTTTAATAAACGTAAGCAGTTGAACGTTAAAAATGTAAAATATCCTAACTAGTTTGGTTTAATATAATTGTAAATTATTATTACGGTATGGCCGGTATGCAAATTACAGTTTTGCCTACTATAAACTATAGGTATGTATAATTAATTTTTGATTTTATATTTCTATACGATATAAAATATAAATGTCATCCCTCATCTTACATACGATATTATGAATCTGCCATGATAGATTTTTTAATGAGTATAAAATGAAATGCGTTTAATTCGAAAAAGTTATACTTATAAAAGTGAAAATGTATGACGTATGAAGTTACATAATAATTTATCACTACAAAACACATACATCTATAGGTTTTAAATTGAAAACCAAATTTGTTTTTAGTGATTTTTTTTATTTACGTAAAAATATTTCATGACATCTAAAGACCTAGAAACTATGTGAACGCGTTATGAAAATAATATTACGTTTAATGTATGTACTGTATTACAATAAAATATTTATCGAGTAGTGGCAGCGCCGTGATGCAAACGTAATATTATATTAGCAAATGTGCCGCGTTTTCGCCAATCGATTATACTGTTATACAAATGAAAATAAAAAAATTAATAAAAAAATAACGTTCGCTGCAACCGTCGTCAAACGTACCGCCGTGCCGTCGTCAATAAAATATTAATAACTGTTATCTCTTATTCAGCGCGTCGCTTAATTGTGCTTGTATTATAATAATTTACAATACACGAAGACGGCGGGCGGGGCGTTGCCGGTAAATTAATTATAATTTATCATATTATATATATATATATATCGGGCTCGTATTACAGTAATTTACAACTATCGTTGTTGTAATTAAACCCGTCGACGATTAGTATTAAACACTATTTTATTATCGTTATTGTCGTCATCACACCAGCGGTACTTGAACAATCCTAATGTCCCATATAATATTATTATATTATAATACGATACGGTATAATAATATTGTGGTCATATCGTTATTTTAATATAGATATAATACACAAGTATAACAAGTCTGCGCACAAACCGAACTCGGTCGTATTGTGTGTTATTATTTACACGTAATTATTGTTAATGTGTATATTAAAATATGGATACAGTCGACGCGCACGCGTAATATTAAATATAATTTCTTTGTATGCGTGCGCGTGCGCGTCGGTTTATTAAGAATAGGTATATTGTTATAAATTATAATGATAATATTATAATATTATGCAGCTTAAACGGTCTTTAATATAATGTGATCGTCGTCGCGTAATGCATTATGTGTGGTCATCGTGCATAAACAATAATATTGTGTACCTATATACCATATTATACGTACCAATATTAACTATACATGTCATTATTATTATTATTAGTTAACATACCGATATACCTAACACGATATTCGTTTAATATTATGTAGGTATAAATTATAATATTGAGAAGCAGGAGAGTCACGCGACCGTCGCCGTCTCGATGAACGTCAAAAAGCAACAGATGCAATTGCAGCTGCAGTTGCAACAACCACAACGGCGGCACGACCGTACCGGGTTCGAGACGCTGTTGGACCAACCGATGCCGGTGGCCGAGACGTCACCACCCGGCGGCACGTTACCTTGGTCGACAGCCGTCGCCAGCGACACGGCCAGCCGATACGATCACCCGCTCGGCCGCCGGGGTCCACCGGCCACGATTGCCGGACTGTCAGACGTATCCTCCGACCACACCGGTTCGCCGGCCGAAGCCGACGACGCCACCGCTGCCGTCACAGCCGCTCGTCCTGGCCGACCACAGGACCAAGCGGTGACTACGCCTCCGCCGCCGTCACCGTTGCAACTGCCCAGCCCTTACTACGACAGGAATCCCGTCATCGGTTTCCCGGTGCATCATCACCACCACCACCACCACCACCTCGTCCCTAAATCTCCGACAAACGCCACCACGAGCGTACCGCTGGCCAACGTGCAAAACGTTGGGTACGCCACCGGCGACCAGGACCACAACGATCACTACGCCAACAGATCAAAAGTAAGTGCTGTTCGCAGTTAGGTTAAAACCTCTCGATTAAAAAAAATTGTCTAATATTATCATTGATTTTATAGTAAAATATTTAATAAAAAAAAAAAAGTGTAAGTTCATTCTTTTTTTTTCCATCAGTAAATAATTCTAAACAAAATAGTTTGTAAGGTTTATTAATCATTGGACACCTCCCCAAAAAAATCACTAAAAATATGCCACTGACTGTTCGTACATGTATATTATTAATTTTCGAATAACATCATAGCTATACGTCGTCTGTCGTGTCTTGTGAGTTGTGGCTGTTATCGTAATCTGTTGATTAGCCATGATGGCAATCGTAGTATATCATTCGCTAATCATTATCTAACAGGATAGTTTCTTGAGTAAAATCGAGCTCAAATTTTCCAGAACACGATATAACACAGGACATTGGTATAACTGAAGTAAAACCTGGCTTAATAGATAGTTTAATATCTACTCATTTTCGACAGTATAACGGTTTTTTTTTTATGTTCGTTAAATTAGTTATCAACGACTAATTGGAATTCATTTTTATGTTTATATATATGTATAGGAAGGGACACACGTTCGTGTAACGATTGATTACGTATTAGACTATTTGGTCAATAACGATTATGGGGTTGTTTTGTTGTTATAAATGACGACGTAAAAGGGGTTTTGTGAGTCACGGGACTCTATTTAAAAATATTTGTCCGTTGTACATCGTTGGAAAATTCTTAATAATTTTTTGTTACATGCGTCTCGTAATTGAACTATGTTTGAGTAGCAAATGTTATAGTTTATAAATTAAAATTTATGCCGTTGATTCGATTTTTCTTTAAAATTAATAAAAAAAGTATTAAACTTATTAGTATTTAATTCAAAGTTTCATATTGTTATAAGTATAAATTTTATAACATAATATAATTATTATATTAATTTATTGATATCCATTTCACTGGTTTCATTTTCACTCTTGTTTCTTTTTAAATGCTAAATTGCTAGGTGCGTTTGTTATGTATGTGTAACAAATGAAAAGAAACGTTTTTTGGGTGATAGAGAGGGTGTGAATAGTTTGAAAATCCAAAAAAATAGAATTGGAAATTGGCTTATACATTTAATTGAATTTCATTGTGATTTGCAAATTATTATATTTTTTTTGCTAACAATTCAAAATGATATAACAATTTGTTAAGATTTATAATTCTTTAAATATATCAGACCTAAAAATTGAAATAAAAATAAAATTTGCTAGACTGTTTAGTTAAAAAGAAAATAATACAATATAAATAGTACAGATTTCTAAAAGTATCTATGATTTACTTCTAACTATTTTTCTCTAAGTAATTGTGTTATTTTCAAAGTTGTCGGCTATCGATATATGTCATTTTCGGAGTATTATACAATAATTTTTTTCGCGTTAAATAAACTAATAATGTGCACATATATAATGTATAATGCTCCTAACTTCAGTAATTTAGATATATTTATCAAGTGATTAATGTTATATGTATAATACATTTAATATAAAAATAAAAAGTTTAAATTAAAACCAAAACGTTCATATATTCTAACATCTATACTTATCCATATTTTAATGTAGGCTTGTAATTACTTTTTTTTACATAATTTATTATGTCAATATATAGTATTACTACCAGCGGCACAACTACAAGTCTGGCGATTTGACGGATGGGCGGGACGACGACAAGGAAAACATCAAGCAACGGGACACCGCCGAGTGTCTACAACAGCAGTTGGACGAAGTATTGCAGGCGTGTGCGGACTACGAAGAGCGGAACAAAAACCAGCAGCAGCCGCAGTCTGAAAGCTCCGGAAACACGTCGCCAGGCACAGCGACGACATCAACGACTACGCCACCGCAACAAAACCGGTAAGATACATTTTTACCACATACTCGTGCACTAATTTAATATTATGCAATAATCCGCATTGTGCATAAGCGTTCGCAGACTTCGTTGGCAGGTCTGTAAAAGAAAATAGTCAATCAATTTTCTCTAATACAAAAACAAAATCATACAGTATTACATTATCACTAAAATATAAATGTTAAAAATATTATAAATTATTAATTTCAAAAATTTTTTTTAATATTTTTAAAACTTGTCTCTATAACTTGTTTATTATCTTTTTCCGAGCAGAGCAAATTTTATAAATATTATTATAAACAAGACCAAGACCAAGATAAAAAATGTTGGTATTACCAACAAACTACAAGTTTATGACAGTAATCAGTAATGACATGCTATATTACTCGTATTTTTTTATAGATGTATTGGACATTAGTTTAGGACGTTTAGGTACACAATGTTTAAAACAGAAATATCACACAAACTTCGAAGGAAAATAAAAAGTACTCACAATTAAAATGATACCTACCGTAGTTCGTAATGACTTTTAGCAATTATTTGTATATTCAAATCAAAGTAGAGGTGTATTATGGATAAAATTATCATATTAGTAGAATAGCAATTTTCAACGTCTATCGATTTTGGGAAAATAAAATAATTTTACTAATTTATTAGTATGAAACAACTATGTTATTTTGTAATATTAATTCTAATCGTTTCCAATCATTTCTAATCTTTTACTCAATAATTTTATATTATCTTGAATACTGATCAAATTTAATAACAATAAAAATAATTTCTTATTATTTTCTATATAAATTATTATTTAATAAAAAATAGGTACACTAATGTGTTTTCAGGAAAAAAAAATTGTAAGAGTCTTGCAATGTTGGTCTTCTTTTGGTCTTGATCTTGTAAACCTAATCTTGGTCTTGGTTTTGCTAGGACCAGTGCCATCTTGGTCTTGGTCTTGCTGCTAAAGTCTTGCGAAACCGCAAGACCAAGACCGATTTTGATTATCACTATTGAAAACAAGCCTTTATAAATTATTACAAATAGCCCTTTCGAGGAATATGCAAGCCGGCCATATGTACCATACTATTTCGCCACACACCTATGCGCATTACCCTAAATGAATTTGGGAGTTGCTTATTTTTTTTTTATGCATTTATCATTAGGATAACGTGCATTATTAATACGATTTATGAGATCAAATTAACTCACATTAATGATATTGGTTATCGCTTATTTATAAGGTAAACATGATGATTGATATAATGAATTACGATTCCTAAAAAGGTTTACATTTATTTTGGTTTCGCTGCCGAGTGATATTCTTTTACACGTGTCTATAGAGGACATTTTTTTACTTCTTTTTTTTGATCAAATACAAAAGTATGTTTTATTAAAAATAAGAGTAAAACTGAGCTTTTTATTACATTTTGAGAGATTTTAAATTCTTACCGAGTTTTTTTCCTCAAACTGTCGAATGTTAAAATTTTCTTTTTCCTTGCTTAGTTTATTTAGTTGTAATTTTAACTTTGAAGTATTTTTTGATTTTACTTTATTATTTTAAATATATTAATTTATTATATGCAAATGCGCACTATAATAATTATAATCTATTATGTTTTACCTACTATATGCCTGTATAAATTGATATACTTGATAATAAATTACACTGTGTTACTAAAATATCAAAAATATTTATTATTCTTCGATCTAATATCCTAATATCTATAAACAATTAAATTGTTTAAAGTCTGTCTTGTCTTAACGTATTTAAGCCTGATCAGTGTACATATATTAAGGGTCAATAACTCGCGACCTACTAACTAATTTTGTGTGGTCAATGTGTAGTAAATTTATAATTTATTTATAAATAATCATAGTTAATTACTTTAACGAAAACATTGTTTGTTGATGATATGTGAAACCAATATTTCTAAAATCATTTAGTACTATTGTGTAGTGTACATTTGAAGTGTTTATTACAGAGTTTTAATGTAAACTGCAGTTTTTTAAACACATATTTTTTATGAAAAAATAAATTATAAATAACCACCTTCAATCTTACAAAATAAAAATTATTGTTTAATTGTTTTGTAACCTTTGGTAAAAATTGTTTAAGATTTTTAGTATTCGATATAAAAAATATTGCTAACTCCTGCGCTATATAATAATTTACCTAAAATTACGCGAGTAGGCATACTGTACTGTTACTCACTTTTACTATATTTTTTATTTTTTATTCCAATTTTAGAATCAAAACAAATGGTTCTCTCCCGCGGGATAGCAAGAAATCTGCCACAGAAACATCTTCGCCTACATCACCACTATCGCCAATGACATCGCCACTGTCGCCGTCATCGACGACCTGGCCGTCCGTTACTACCCCGTCTTCTCCCACTATGTCGCCGTTGTCATTGCGCACAGTTGGCGGAGACAGTGATTCAGTATTTTTAGAAAACGATAATCATCCACCGTCACCTGCAGTATGCGGAAGTCCCAGGACCAGAATAAGAACGCTTGTCCCGTCTTGTGCAACTGCCAATGAAGAATTACACTACAGCAGGTAAATTTTTTTGATCAAATTTATAAACATTGGTAATTGTTAAGAATGTAAACCACCCTTTCGTGATCAAATGCAAATCTTATAAGCAGCACTTTTTACTACCGCACTAATACGATAACGCATAAATTCTTCAATTTAATAGTACGTAAAATTAATTAATTTTTATTATGTGTAGGCCTGGTATATTTTATGTGGTAATGCGTCCCTTATGCGATTTTTCATGTACGTTTAAACAAAGTTTGAAAAATTGTATTTGGTTATTTTTCTACATGGCTATGATCTATAATAAATCGTTTGGGCATGTAAAATAATTAAAATAAGTATTTACTACTGATATTGCTGAGAGAAAATGAGAGTGTAGATTTGAGAGGCTTAACATAATTACGGTAAATTAAAACCTTAGTCTGTAAATAATTTTATGTTAACCAAAACGAAATCTTTCAAATCCAAAAGCAATAGTGAATGACATGTATTATGTATATATAATTATTTTTATGATATGAATATTTTACAGGTAAATTTAACATTGATACCGATGTTACCCTAGTATTTTTGTTTCTTGGTCTCTAAGATTAATTGTGTATATCTTGTAACCAGCTAAAGAATTACGAAGTAGGGTATAATAAGCGTTTCTTATGACTTGCGTTGTTCTTAAATATATTATACAACAATTAGCCACTACATTGTTCACACCCGCATTAATACGCACTATGAACTCTTCTTACGTTAAAAACAAATGTTTTTAATTATTTAACCTGTCAATTAATTAAAACAAGTAGAATTATAACTTTTTAAAGTTATTAATTAAAATCATTTTTAATTTTTAAATTACTCTGGCCGTTTAATTGACCAAATGAAGTTGAACGTTATTTAGATAATAATATTAAATTAATTATACTCATTTAAAAGATAAAGTATAACTTAATAGTACGTGGATATTTTTTAAATTTACATAATCTGATTTACTAAAATGAAATTATTTATTGACTTCATTCAATAATTTTCTTGATTGAGTGCAATTGAATAATTGCAATACATTATGGCTTACGTAATTTAATAAGCTTTATCTTAATATATCATTTATACCCGGTAATATAATATATTAACTGTGTCGAGACTATTACATATTATTGGTGATAAATAATTACGTACGTTCCTTGCCAAGTAAATAAACATTTTTTTATCAAACAAATAAATAATTACATATATTAAATACAAATTTAAAACTTAATTCGTTAACGATAATTTTCATTTTTAAATGATATTATTATCATATATAGATAAGTGCAATAATTAACAAACATAAAAGAATAGTTTTTTATTACATTCAGCTTTAAATTTTAAATGATGTCACAATTTTAATGTATCTTTGTATAGCTAAATATTAGTTTTCATTTAGATTTTTGTTTTATACGTTAGTGTTTTTTGTGTGATATCATTTATTTTTATTGTTTTAAGTATAATGTACACAATACACACGACACAGTGTTATACGGGTATTTCTTGTCAAGTCAACATGTTTTATTATATATTTATATATATATTTAATATTTATATGAACATTGAACTAATAATAATAAGCACATGGATAACCGTACATGGAACGACTGTTGCATAAGTAACAACAAATACATGAAAACTATTATAATAATATATAGGTGTATAACTACAGGAACAACTGTAATAATATTTATTTTTTTTTTAAAACGATGTATAATATTATAATATTAGAGCGACGCCCAACAATGGCATCTACAATGAAAGTACCTATACGTCGTAAGCAAGAAACTATATTATAACATATAGTTAAACAAAATAGTGGAACATAATATTTATCATTAATTAGCTTCTATATATTTAAATTTTTCATGATTATATTTAAGATATCAGCTATTATCAACTATTTTTAATTATTCTGACAAAAGTATAATCTCGAAAACACATGTTTTATAAATGCAATATTTATACCGTAACTATTATTTTTTAATCTAGTTTATGATCAATAATAAGTTAGCCATCCAGGCTATACTAGCCCTCTACTTGGATACTTGAAATTTATCGACCGCACTAATTGCATATGCCATCTACGATGAATTTAACGTATTACACATGTGTTTATTCCTGTATTATTATTTGTCTGTTATCGCCCTGCTGTAATATCATTATTAAAATCATCCATACAATATATTTATTTTTAACTAATTATTAAAAATTAAAAAAAAAAAATAATGATCAAATATTTAAAAAACAATGTGTAATTCAATTTGAGATAACAGTAAATAAATTTATATGGTATCACGAGCTCACGACGGAAGCAAAACTTCTAAAATATTAAATACAATTTGTTTAAAAGGACTCTTTTCACTAAAATTTGACCGCTATATGAACTTCATCAAGTAGAACTCAAGGAAATTTCAAGCAGTACCACGACGTTATTTGTTTCATCTATTTTAAGACATCCCACAGTCTCTCCAGAAATTGGAAGTAAGCTCCAAAAATAGAGTCCTCAAAGTTTTACTTATGGTTAACCTGATTATAATGATGACCAACCTATCTATTGAATATTACGTATAATGTCTAGCATTCTGAGAATATTATTCATCGACCGATAATAGAATAGCAACTATAAAATGTATGTATAACGTATGTTTGTGGCATCGTCAGAACCACAACGAGAAAAGACTATTTTAAAATAAGAATTGATAGACAACGTGAACGAACGAAATACACGTGATTTAAAAAGAAATCGATCAGCATCAGCTAGCGTTTGCTCGCTCACCGGAAAACGTTATCCAGAGGTGTTATCTTTACATTAAACATATGGCCTGTTTTTCTTTGGTGCGCATATATATATTAATATTATAATATTATACTTATGCCAAGGCATGTAAGGACCTCTCATTTTTTACGTTTACATTTTATAATTATTTTTTTTAATTTGTATGTGTATTTTAATAACGACTTAGCTTCTGGATATGATAGTGTAATTGTAACGATCCATCTGTTTTTTAATATTATTATGATTTATACAGTGGTGGCAAGAACCAACTCGGTCAAACTCATAACGGCCAACACAGCACCGACATCGGTTTGAAAACGTCGCCGACTACTGCAGATTACTTCCCGTCAAAATCGGCAGACCAGCCATTGCAACAAATGCAGCTGCAGTCGTTGCAATCGACATTTCTCCAATCGTCCCCTCCACCTTCGTGGCAGACGACAACGATGTGGCTGCGTTCGTCACCGTTTGCGACGGATCCCAAAGACGGTGGCTCGACAAAAGCTCCGACGGTTTCATTCGCTGCTGCAGACAGGTTGGCTGAGGCGGCCGAACAACGTAGAAAGTTGCTGGTAGAATTGTCCGCGCATAAGTCTCGGCTGGTCGAATTGCACTTGCGCCGCGAAGAAGTCGATCGAGAGGTGAGTGCATTGTATTGATAAATTAAAGCTTCGTATTTAATTTAAATACATATTACAAATTACAATTATATATTATTGTCATTTGAATCATTTGATGATACTCTCCTGTTATTCAAATTCCAATTGAACGCATTCGTGGATTTGCTCGAGTTGGATCACAAGTGGAACGTCTTTTTTGTGAAGTCCAATATAAACAGTATTATATAGGTGATTGTGTAATAAGTAAATTTATCGTTGGTGTATGTGTGTGTGTGTAGTGTGTGCGCGCGCGCTCGCATACATATGTGTGCGTACTTTTTATCGCATGTTGAAATACATAATATTTCTAACGATGTGTCTAAGATTATTTTTGCTCTAACGAATAATAAACCAAAATTCAGAACAATAAGAGTCCATCTATTTCTAAATATCTAACTAATAATCTTCAACTTTTTTTTACGTAAAAAGACGATTTTTCGATTTTTCAAATTGATTATATAATTATAACGTATTAATATTATTATTATTATTTGTTAAGTACCCACTTAATACTTATATTTCGATAAAAATAAAATAAATTTAAAAGGTCACACAAATACAATTTTAAACTTATTTTTAAGGTTTAATTTTGATTCCTCGTCTTATAATAAGGAAATAACAAATACAAATCTGGTTTAAAAATTTAAATTAACCATTTAATTTATTCTAATAAACACATGATAAAATGTGTTATTCTCAACAGCCGTAAAAAGAGGACGTAAAGTTAAAGATTTTTAAATTATACGAATATACGATTTAATGAATAATCAATATGTTTCGATTCAATTATTTATACACGGTTTTGTGTTTGTATTTTTATTAATCATATTATAATCAGTTTGGATGACGTAATCTTAAATTTTTTTTTGAAAATCTTAAAGGTACGCTTAATACAGTGGCCATGGATTTTATTCATACCTTAATTTAAATTTTTAATACACGTTTATAAATTATTTAACATTTTTTAAATTTTAGTACACTATATGAAATAAATTATTTTTAAAAAAAACTTCAGTTTTAATACGATATACAAAAACTAATGTATTTATTTATGTTTATTTTATTAAAAATATAATATAATTTTAAATGACACCAGGAATTATTTACGTCGTTAATTTTAATGTTAATACCTATTATTAATGTATATCATAAACTATTTAAATAATCAATTTGGCAATGTATATAAATTATTCACAACAGGTTTATCACATAAAATATTTTTGTAAAATTTCGTTATTTTTATATTTTTGCAACATGCGTAAAAATTACACATCAGTTAATTATTTTATAACAATTATCAATGAATATTTTTATTAATATGTATCCAATATGTAACCTTCACTATACCTTTTAAGTTCATATTATTATTAATTATTATTATAAATCAGTGTCAACGGTGTATGTGTTATGTAAATGTCCACATGTGCGTACAATAACCAAATCAACAGATAAAAATAAAATAATATTAACAAATTAAACCAACAACGAATATAAATATATATTTTAAATATAAACATTAAACATTGCATTTTGTTCAAAAGCTTTTGAACTTAAAACTTTAGGATCATCATTTGATATATAGTTATTTATTATTATTTAATTATTTCTGTATGCCTAGTATGTTTACAATTATAAGCACGAGTGTACACTACTTAAATAAATTTTAACCCACTGTGTTTACCAAATAAAGTTTAAATACTAACTTAATGCTGTCCTGATTACATAGTTTTAAATTTTATTATCCATTGGTTTATATAACTTATGAATGAATACTAAAAAAACCTCGTTAATTAAATTTAATTGAGAACAATATTGGTATAATTATAAATTTATAGTCATAACAATTTTTTCTCAAACTCGCAGTGTTTATAAAATTTACGTCGTTGTGTTTACAGTTAATCATCGAGACCGCGTTGTTGCGTGCCGAACTTGATGCTGCCGACGATGAAACTCGCCAGTCGGACAACATTGTAGACGGTTTGGACCGCGCCGTGGCTGATTGCCGGCAAAAAATGGACGCGTGTACTGTGAAACAACAAGACCAGAGGATAGCAGCTGACTCGCAGTTGGCAGGACACCGGCAAACACTTCAAGGGTAATTTATTGTTATTTTATTACTCAAAACTGTAAACTTTAGAACACGATTTTACCCTCACTATCAGGAAGCAGTGGCTAAGGGAACGACCATAATTATTTATATTCAAATAACGGAAAGCTAATAAAAATGTGATGGTGCCTAGGAACCTACAATAGCCGACAATAGATATTCACTACCATCGTTTGGTAGGGGGGGGGGGGACAATTATAATAAAACTAGTCACAAAAAATATCACAGCAGAAATAAATGTAAATATGTTGATCGGTTAGTAATATGTACCTACCAACATTTAATCAAAGAAAAATCTATATTATGTATTTCGATTTGAACTATTATTGTATTACATTAACTTCTTTCATAAATTAGTACTTTCAATATTATATGAATAGGTTCAAGTAAATATTATTCATGACGTTTTGTACTTAAATGTTTTGTTTATACTGAATTGTAGACAACCAAAGTGTTAAATGCACTATTTTAGGATTTCAATATGGATCAAAGTAACGTAGGTAAAAAATAAAACTTTTTATAAATTTCCATTCAAAGTTACAGTCTCATTTAAAATATTTCAAAATTAACACTACCCAATAACAATGGTTAGGGTGTCATAATATTTTCAAAAAATAATCTATAATAATAATTTTTAATAACTAGATTATAGTAGAGTCCAGATTGAAAGATTTCCTTTCTATTAACTTGGTCTTATATGTATAATTCATAATATAATATATTTTTATTTTTGTGAATTAACTTTTATCTAATTTTCTTGGTGTACTTTGATTTGAATTGTAAATATACAGTTTAAAAAAATATAGATAAAAGAGTATGGTTGGATGACGAAATAATTATATTTTTTAACAATAAAACTAGTATATCGATTAGTTTTAAAAATTCAGTAATTAATTATGTATATGGTGTTATAAACAATTTATTTTTCGATTCCGATGGTTATTCTGATAATAAATATTTGTTTTATCAAATTTTTTCAACTAAATCACACGTGTCAATAATATTTTACTCTCATTTGCATAAAGATTTTCGAAATACTAAAAGTATGATTATTTTATCTCAATTTTATTTCATAGAATGTTTAAGCTATACTTATTTAAATATTTATATGAACTATGATAAATTGTATATGCAATGAATAATAATTGAAACATTTTAAAAGATATATTGAAGAAAGATGATACGAAAATGTTGACAACATAGTAATGTTTTTAATCAAACATAATATTTATTAATTTACTGTTAATCGTTTGTCATATTTATTTTTTTAGTATGATCATTAAAAATATAGGTAGTTAATATTTATACTAAATGATATAAATGTATTATTATGGTTTAATATACATAAATCAACTTACATTAGGTATGGGATAAAATGATAAATTCGGATTGTTCAAAATATTTTTGGGAAAATGTATAAGTAGTAATAAAACCTTCAACATTAAGGCTTGAAATTATTAGCAGTTTTTTAATTAGCTTGTAACTCAAACAAATTACAAAAAGATAAGAAATGTTTAACTTACATTTTTCTTTATTAACTTGACTTATCGAGCATTAGTTAACTCGTTGAGTTTTGGTATTTTGTATATAGTCATGATTATACAGAAATAAAATATGCTTGTAAAATGTGTTCGTAGTTAATTTTTTTGAGAACATTTTTATTCATCTCTCAAGCCACTCCTTTATAATAGTTGTTCCACGATTACTATATCGTTTACCTATAAATACTTCTAGATATTGTGTTGTCGTTTATGCTACTTCCAATATTACGCTACCCGCCCATCACCCCATTTATAAAATCTAATTACAGTGTCTATATAGTATACAGTATACACCCACAATTTATTACAATTTACATATTGTATATGCACTTTATAATTATATATAGCAATATGCTTTGATATATTATAAATTATAATATACCAATAATCGTTTTAGGTTACGGAAACGACTAGAATCGATCGAGGACAACGACGTGCTGAAAACTGAAATACGTGCTTCCATTGATAAACAGACGGAGCTGTTGGACGCTGAACAAAAGGTAAGACATAATAATAATAACATTAAAAAATAATATAATATTAGAACATACGTCATTATATTGTAATAAATCATAAGTATAACGTCACGATCAATAACGATTTTTTTCACCCTCAATAATAGTATATTATATTTACGAAATGCTGGTATGTGTCTTGCAGTTGTACGAAGATGTAGAGTTCGGATTGCTGGAAGAGGAGGCCGGATGGCTGGCCCGCAGGGAAGAATTGCACAGGGACCGGGCCGCTGCCGTGGCGGTTAGACGTGCTCGACGGGCTCGTGCCGAGTGGTTACGCGCGCAGCTCGATCAGCTCCGAAGCGTCGGTGATGACCAGTTACGAGCACTGCGGGCTGACATAAATACAGCGACATTGTCCATCCAACAGGTATTTATAGCACTTAAAGTTTGTTTACTTAGTATTAATTTTTGTTTAATATTATTACAATTTATAAGTCATACAAAATATAATAATAATTTAGATTTTTCAAAATAAAAAAAGTTAATCACGGAATTATTATTATTTAATATTAAATAATAGAAATATGACCGTCATATTAGTATCAAGATATCATTTAGACGAAAAAAAAACATGTTTTAACTATTTATTACATTGTTTGGATAAATAAAAAACTCAGCAATTGTTTTTCCCAATCGTATAGACATTTAAAGCTCTCTGCGACTAACAAGTATAGGTTTGATTAAACATTGCCGGATCCTAATAAATAATATATTAAAAATAACAATTTCAATAATACAAAATAAATTATTTTGCTTAATAAACAAGTTTGTATTCTTATCTTCCAGAAATCTTAACTTACCCAAATAAATTGTTCCCCATATTGTTGTAGTTAATGTAACTTGTTATTTAATGTCTTGTATACAATAATATTGTGATTGTAGGGTCACAAAAAACTACAAGAGCTGGACGCCGCTGCAGCCAGCACGACGGCCGCAACAAACATTATATCAGACCAATACCATCGTCCTCATCAGTTTCATAAAGAAATGCATTCTATGCAGTCAGCAGCGGAACATCAACCTCCCAAGTCTTTGGAATGGTCGTGGGACCAACATATAAAATCTCCCATGTCGCCGAGGACACCGTCGTCGTTGTCGTGGGATTTGCAGCCGTCGAGGTCACCGTGGTTTTCGACAGCTACTCCCGTGACGGAAGACACGGCGGCAAACAATATCAACAGCTTGATGAATGGTAGCATGACGACGACATGCTGTAGTAGTATAGGCAGCAGCGGTGGCGAGGTAATTATTATGTTACTGCGGTTACTTCCGGTTAAAATATCTGTCAGCCGCGGAACTAACCTCCGCAGTTATTTGAAGCGTTCAAAGGAGGATAGTCGGCGATACTAAATTCTTGCCGATACTATCCTTCTCGTCCTGTTCAAATATGTTTTTATGTAGTATTTTATTATAATTATCATTATGCACAAAATATATTGTACGTAAATTATGAGATTCCATTGCCTCGGGCGACTTAATTAGTTTAACGTTTTCGCGTTGTCTGTTATGGTGCAGGACGATGGCTGTGCCCGACCGGTATCGGATGACTCTATTTCACGAATGTCAATGTCGACTATCTTCGACGGAGGGGCCACGATCAAACTCCGACCTAAGAACAAAACGTCACCGTCGGACATCACTAAAGTTAGTATCGCACGCGCCCATTTAATATGTGGCGCTGATTATACAAGTACACGGCTGTTATAGGGCTTCATAAACTATATATTATACATATACATATACCTAATATAGAACCATCTAAAATAATTATTATTTTCGACGAACAGTAATATCGTTTTCCCGTTGGCGGACGCTCACTGCAACTGTGCGTCTTTCTCACGCGTGACAATTTTTATTGCAATGATTTAAAACACCATTCGTTTTTTGTGTTACTTTTGCAGAGGCCGTTGACTAGATATCTGCCGATCCGGTACGACGACGACGGTTCGACCGAAAACCCGGTAGCATTCGACTTGCGCGCGCACATTGAGTCGGCAGGACATCAGCTGGACGACGACAACAACGCCGGCGTCGACCGACACTTTTGGATTGACAGCACGTCGTGCCGTGGCTATTTAAAAAAGCTTTCCGGTTCCAGTGGCAACAATAATGCGCGCCGAAGCGGCCGGAAGTGGCTGAAGAGATGGTTCGTGTTCGACAGGCAGTCGAGGACTCTGTCCTATTACCGTCGCCAATCCGACGCCGCCAATCAACGAGCAGGCGCCGCCGCAGCCGAGAAGAAAACCGTGCCGAGGGTGTCTATCCGTTTTCAGGTGTGTGTGTGTATTTGGTAATTTTTCCGAAGTGTTTTCTCGATACGACCACGACTTGCGCGTATTTCGTTATATAGCTATACCACGTTTATTAATCGATGTGAATACGTTATTTAATTCAACGCGCGTCAGCCTTTTCGGATTACACGCATGGGCTTAGATACCGAAGTTTAAATATGAAACCGCATTACCGATAATGTGAATATTTTTTAATTTCAAGCCTACTATTTTATTCCATGATATATAGGATTCGTGTATTATGTTATAAATAATTTAAAAATTATAAATATCCACAAAAAACATAAAAATGTAATTAAATTTGACAAACCAAACTCAATATTTACTGCGCATTAAAAAATGTGTATACGTAGTCGCGTTACAGCCGGATTAACTAACTTCCGAATTAACAGTAAATAATATAAGTTATCAATTTTTCACAAAATATTATATAATTATCAGCATATAAAAAATACTTTAAAAAACTATTGAATACTATGTATTCCAACCATCATTTTTATGATTTTATTATGATAACGAGTGTTTACTTTTTTCAAGCTTTATCGCCAAAAAATAGGTTTTATTTGTGTAAAATACTCTCTCAGGGTATTGCTCGAATTTGCATAGTCACAAGATACGAGTACGTTTTGGGAAAGTGTACGCAGTTTCCTACCATGTCATGTACCTACACTCGCATCACTTATTTTATATTGGTATTGTTACAATAACACATTATTTTTTCCGGTGTGTGTTGATATGAACAGGACATCCAGGAAGTATATGTCGATCACACAAACAGCATCAAAGGACAGGGTTGCGCTTTCGTGGTAAAGACAGCCCAGCGGACGTTTTACCTGTCTGCGGCGACCGGCCAAGCGGTCAGAGTGTGGGTGGATGTCATATTCACAGGCGCTGAAGGGTACCAGGAGTACCGAAAAGCTTCGACCGTTAACGGTGGTCAATGAGTTCTACAAACGAAATCCTAACCTTTCCCTTGTCTGTGGACTAATTATATTATTATATTTATTTTTATTTTTATACGAGGTCGTCTAATACGGCCGTGTTAAATTTTTTTTTCAACAAATATATTGTAGTTTTATCCATTGTACCTACCTACCATTATATGTTATACTTACATTTAAATGATTGAAATGACTGTAATGCGATTGATAGTATTTATATATATTTTTTTAAATTGTTATTGACTTTGGAGCGGCTGTCGAGTTGCGAACAATTTAATCTATAGACTGGTTATAATAAATATCGTGTACACCTATAGCTAAATATGTGTATTTTATATATTTATATGGATTAAAACTATTTACTTAGTAATTATTAATTAAGTTCATCTGTGATTTTATCTGAAGCTAATTGATATCTAAATTGTGTAAAGAGAAGCCGAGAGAAAGAAATTAATTTCTCGCATGAAATCTACGTTTAAACAACCATACCTACTATAACACGCTTGTATGATACATTAATATTTTATACGGCGTCCGTGAGTATTAAACTTAGTAATGACTTTTAAGTATTATAAATTGTGCTTCTATGACTTGAAATCAAACTGTAAATAAAATTTACGAATTAAACACATTAAATAATCTCGTGATACATTTTTAAAAAACATAGTTTTTTTTTTTTTAACATTTCATACAATTTTAATGATTTTTTCGTGACTCAAAAGTTAAAACAAAATAGTATAATATCAACGACTATTAAAAAGATAAAAAATCACCTGGGTAAGATATATTAACAAACAAAATGCTCAAGCACCTTCCACAATAATCAACTATGCTTTTATTCTACTTGTTCTTAGTTCCAAAAAATTATCCCAAATACCAATTTTAGTTTTAAAGCAAACTCTCCTCAATCCTTTAGATCCATCAAATTTATGATAAACTAACCTGATTTGAAAACAAAAATTATTGCTCGTTAATATTCTAAAACCTTTTACGAGCTTTAACCATGGATGCTACACTACAATAGCTTTGCTCTTTAAATTAAAAATATTCCCTGAAATATTACTTTACTTGTTAATTCAATCTTCCAAATCATAAATTTCTTGTTCATCAAGGCAATTTATTCTTGAAAAAAAAAAAAAAAAAAAAAAAATAGAAAATTCTTCTTCAAAGTCTAATGATTCCCGCACTAATAATAGGTCTCCCACCACATGTAATTTAATTTTTGAATTAATTTATTGTATAATATACCTAAGTATAGTAAAATTTACCGTGGAAAATAATAACTAATCAAATTTACTCATTCAATGAGAACATGATTATAGATTGTAAATAAAATTAAAATGTTGAAAACTTTATTAAACGATGGATATTTATAAAAAAAAATAAAAAAAAAAATAGATAAAAACAGAAAAATTGAATTTTTTCCTTATACAGTTTTAAATCTTTCTTGATTTTATTACAATAATTTCGATAGTATTGTACGGCACCGAACAGACAAGATATATTGATGCTACTGAGTTATACGATTTCTATCGTTTGATTACTGAAGCCAAGACAAATTCTAATTTGTCATGACTGCAGCTACAGATACTGTACGATTTAATAATTCAATTATATTTGCTTTTAGTATTTATATTAATTTATCATTGTCATAATGTATTTTAATCATATTTTATGATTCTATTGTTCGTAAGAAAAATAAAATAACCATCAAACAAGTATAACCGGCCCACCGAGATTTTCTCCGTAATTCGTCAGCTTAAAATTCGAGCCCAGTATTATCGGTAAACAATAAAATTATTATGGATAATAAATTACTGCATTAGTGCAACTGATTTATTGCTATTCACTAGAAAATATAGATACCAACTACAAATTACAATTTGTCGTTGTTCTTCAACCATTTGGCTACTAATTACTGTACGTTTTAAGTTTACGTATTTTTGTAATATTTGGGTTTGGGAGGTGTAAGTTCATTATTTATAAAATATAATTTTATTCAACCGTCAATAGTACACGCAGCCATTTTTTTGTAAAATAATCAATAATTTTAAATATTTACTTTTTTTTAACCATACAGGTATCGTGTTTTGTGCAAATATATTTCATTAAAAATTATCAATAACTTCTAATATCCGTAATTAAGCAAAACAAAGGAAAATATTTTAATATAACCGAGAATAAAAAGTAAAAATGCGTGACCTAATGAAATAAAATATTTCAGCAGATAAAAACTCCAATGATTGATTATATTAACACTACAAAAAGCCGTAATAAGTTGCTTAATATGTTACTATACAAAGGTATACCTATCTATATGCATATATATATATATATATATATATATATATATATATATGTACAGTCAACTATAGTTATTCTGAATAGATGTATACCTACAATCAGTGTTTTAATATTATTATGTGGTCTCATAACATTTATATTGCAGTAATTGTTTTTTATAATCAAGCCGGATATCTGCAAAAATCGATGTCACGTCCGATTTAAATTCTCTGTGTTCAATGAAACATTCAACTGTATGACGGTACACCCACGTAGATTGTAAACTTTATAACGTTTATCTAAACATAAATTCAGTTTAAACGTCATCTTTTGTATATCTAAATAATTATGTATTCGTTTCTATATTAACTAGAGTGTTTATGAGTTTGTGTTAAAAAAAACAAAATTATTTTTAAACGTCGATTTCTTACGAAAATATCTTCTAATAGACATATTGTTTTGATATTCAAATTATAGGTATATCGATAAATACATCGAGTAAATAATTTTAACTCTTATAATTTTAACCTTGATAACATGAACAGTAAGTACAATAAATAACAACTATACATTATTTTAACAAAAACAAAATTATGCATACGGTAGAACTTATCAAGAAAAGCGACGGAGAAGATTCGTACAAACGGCGACTGACCCGACAAGTTTCTATGCACACTCTAAACGGCTTCAACGAACTCCGTCTGAACGTCAAACTCTGCGACGCGTCATTGATACTTGACAACGGTGACACGTTTCCGATACATCGATCAGTGTTGAGTGGTTCGAGCGATTACTTTAGGTCAGTATCTATATCACCTACGATCCACTCGAAGCATTTTTAACACTATTGCATTAGACATACGTATTATATCATGTTCAAGTTCTGATTTGGATAAATTATACAAAACAAGGTCGGTCGAATGAAGCACTGTATTTTTTTAAATGTTTTTTTATTGATCGGAAGAGAATAAATACACATAATAATTTAAAAAAATACATATATGTAACATTTTATCGATTATCCATCTCTTTTAGGCTTTAAACTAGGCTTGTATTGGATATAGAGAGTTGAAAATATTTAAATAATATAGACTGTATATTATAGAACTAATAACAAATACGAATAAGGAATATTATTTAGCACTTGATAAAAAATTATAGTTTGAAAATAGTTTAACATAATGTAAAAAATATACAAATAAAGTTCTTACATATTGAAATATTGAATGTATGAAACATAAAAATACTATTAACATAGCATAACGTAAAAAATTTAAATTAGATTAATTTTAAATTGAACAATAACCATTCATTTATTAACTTTTGTTTTTGAGTTTTTATATATATATATAGTATAATAATTTCTGCTTTACATCAAAATTCAATGAATTAAATACAGTAGGCCCAACATAATTTATGCGTTTCTAACCACAAGTTGTTTTTGCATAATTAACTTTAACATCTAAAGCTCTGTGTTGTCTTTTATTTTGGTGTGTTTGTGTATTGTATCATGTATTCCTATAGTTTTTTATAGTTCTTATACTTGGCGACGCTTAATTATAATATTATATAATTAAGTAATCTGGCTTAAAACAATACGTATATACCTATTATAGAAGTGTTAATACTGAATAAATCTATTATTATACATTTATGTTAAAACTTTAAGAAGACACCAGACGGCCAGACATATATTATGTTTATTTCGTCTTCATTTTTTAAGTGAATTGACCTACGGTATTTTAATATTTAAGCTAGTACTATGAGTAGGTTGGTAATTTTATAATTGTCATATTTTACATACTCATAACTTGCTTAAATATTCAAATATCGTAAAAACACATGTGGGTTTTTATTTGGGAATATAAAAACACGAATGATATTCTTACCTTTAAGTTCACTCAAGCTATTATTGAATGTTAATACTTACACAGTATTGGAACTCCTTAACAAAAATTTACTACATTATGTTATTAGTTTATTACTTTGTACGTCATAGTAACACACGCAAGTTTAGCATATTTTTAAGCTTTTTTCTTCACTTTAAACACATTTCATGTTTATTATCTAACAAATAATTCTAATTTACATAATTAAAACCTATACAATAGAAAATAATTAATTAATTGTGATAAAAACTTGCTAAACAGAATATAATAATTAAAATAAACCAATATAGATATCAAACCTATCGTTTGAATACAATAGATAACTGATATAGTGCTTATTATTTTATATACTATCCATATTATTTAATTAATTTAAACTTAAGAGGATACTTCATCCGATATGTTATACGTTTGTGAGACAGAGATAACACATGCGAGTTAGGTTAGGTTACATAAATCCTCTCAATAATATACTGTTGTGCAGGCAATTTATAATTTAAAGTGCAGTTATTATAATTTTCAATAAATAATATTTGTTAAGAAAACGGTTTATTATTTATTTATTTTTTTATTTTTTTTTTGAGGAGGGGGAGGAGGGGGGTTATTATATTCTTAATATTTTATACACAATTCGTAATATACCTACCTATATTAATATTAGCTATAAAATTATTTAAATTATAATTGTATATTATATTTAGTTAGGTATTTAAAAAAAATAAATACTCATATTAAAATAGTTCATTTTTAGAGAGTTGATCAAATTTAGCTAATAAGGCTATAATTTTTCATATCCAAATCTCTATAATTTATAAACAATTTTTTCATTATCTAAATACCTAAATAAAATGATTGCGTGAATTTTAGAAACATAATAGATGCTAATGCACTATTAAATATACTCATACTATTAATATTATTTTTAAAAAAATATTGTGTTTTACAGGTTACAGTGTATAACATTTTAAACTATATAATATCTTTTTTTTTAAATAATTGACACTTTTAAATTGTTTTGTACGCAATATTTAAATAATGTCGACATATTAATTAAGAAATACAATATAAGTGAAATCATTATGCACGGCGATTATTTATTTAAAGGCAATAATTATTAATTATTACCTTTAAGTTTGATACTTTA